GTAGATTAAGTCAACAGCTTAGCAACCTTGGGAATGGCACCCCCACAGTCGTTTTAATGAGAAGACCAATGAAGTGATGGACAATCTACACAAAATTTGCAAAACTGCCCTCTCCTACTCCTCCCAGCAGGCTAGATACTAATGCACTCAGTGGTGCAGACCCTTCACTTTTCAACAATCATATCAACAACTTTATCATTCTTACAAACATTTCACTCTGGCTCCAGAGAGGTCCAATCTTCCATCTTCCTCAGCTGCTCTTTCTTTCTGCTCTCAGGCACCAGCTCAGCAGCATAGACCACTGGTTCTTAACCTTGGGTTACTCAGGAGTTTTGGACTGCAACTCCCAGAAGTCTTCACCACCAGTTGTCCTGACTGGGGTTTCTGGGAGATGCAGTTCAAAAGCATCCGAGTAACAAAGGTTAAGAACCACTGGCATAGACAACCTTTCCGTCGAGCTGCAAGAAAAAATAAAGAATATATTTGACTTGACTCCTCCAAATCTGTTTCCTGTCTGTCCCCATCATCCCCGTCTGGCTCACTTTCTCGACAAGTGGTCCATTGTCACCAAGGACTCTTGGGTACTCTCTATCATATGACACGGCTAGCTGTTAGAATTCACCGACCAACCTCCACTCGGTTATCTCCGACATACGACTTACTCACCTACCCTAGAGGATGAAATTTCTCTTCTCATCCAGAAATACGCTATCCAACGAGTACTTCCCCAAGTTGTTCTAAACAGTTTCTATTCTCAGTACTTTACCGTCTGCGATGGAAGCCTTCGCCGCATCCTGGACCTGTGACTTCTCAACACCTACATCTATCAAAAGTGCTTTTGCATGGTCACCCTGGAATCCGTTATCCCACTGCTTTCTCCAGACGATTGCTTTGTGGTCGTAGACCTACAAGATGCATATTTCTATATCTCTGTCCACAAATGTCACTTCAAATGCCTTCGTTTCCTCTTCATGGACAGTGCTTACCAATTCTGTGCCCTCCCCTTCGGGTTGTCCACCATCCAAGAACTCTCACAAAGTGTATGGCTCCTGTGACTGCCTATCCTTGTCTGCACAACATCATGGTCTTTCCGTATATAGATGATTGGTTGATAGTGGCAAAGTCCCTGCGGGCTGCAAACTCCGCAGCCCAAAGGGACTCTGCCTTTTTTCTTCAGACTCTGGCAAAACTCGGTTTGCAAGTCAATTTCAAGAAGTCTCATCCTGAACCATTGCAGACCATAGGTTACATCGGGGCGCATCTCGATTCAATCAAGGCCAGAGTTTTTCTCTCTCACAAACAGATATCCAAACTGAAGAGAGCTATTCGCCATTTCCAACCTCATGCCATGGTTTCTGCTTGGCACGGACAACATCTCCTAGGCTTGATGGCCTCAACCACTTCCGCACTCCAACACGCAAGACTCAAGACACGATCTTTGCAGGCCTGGTACCTGTCCCTGTTCAACCCCGTGTTAGATCATCCTTCAAAATGTCTTCTTGTCACTCTGGAGTTAGCACGCCAACTCACTTGGTGGACCTTTGCCCCCCACCTCCTTGTGGGCTGTCCTTTTCGACCTCTTCAATTGACAATACAGGTCATGACGGATGCCAGCCCAATAGGATGGGGCACACACTGTGGCGACCACGAAATTCATACTGTATGGTCCAACTTGGAAAAGCTACTACATATCAATCACCTAGAAATGCTAGCACTCATCAAGGCTTTCTGAGCTTTCCATCTCCTCATAGCTGGTCGCGGAGTCCAGGTTACCATGGACAATATGACCACTCTGTATTATATACACAAACAAGGGGGTACTCACTCGCGATCCAGCTATGGGAATGGTGGTACAACCGCCACGTCTTCCCTGTGGCTTTTCATATACTGTATCTACAGATGACCATTTGGGTGGTCAGATGACCATTTAAGCCATCTGACTACCCAAACCCATGAGTGGGTCCTCAACGACTCTGCCTTCCATCATCTCTGCAACTGATGGGGAACTCCAGATCTCGATGTTTTTATCACCCAGACCAACTTGAAATGCAGCAACAACTGCTCTCAAACAGGCTGCGACATTAACTCTCTAGGCAACACCTTCATGGTAGACTGTGGCGATGTCCTCCTCTACCTTCCCCCCCCATTCCTCTTATCCAGTGGACAATAGTCAAGCTCCACCAGCTGCGAGCCAATGCCATCTTGATAGCACCATGGTGGCCTTGACAACCCTGGTTGTTACTCCTCTCAGGGCCATAGTAGCCGAATGCCTGAGACTGCCTCTTCGGCCACACCTGCTGACTCAGAACAACAGCCGTGTTTGTCACCCTGACCTGGAAACTTTACACCTCACAGTGTGGAGAATTCCCCCCGTCATAGCAGAGGTACTGGACAAATCTAGGAAATCCTCTACTAAATTGTTGTATTCCTATAAGTTGAATGTTTTCTTTAGATTTGTTGCATCAAGAGGTTTATCAGCGATTCCTGTTCTGCTGGATACCCTCCTCTTGTTTCTTCATCACCTGTTTGATCAAGGTTTGGTCCACTCCACGTTGAAAGTTATATATTTGCAATAATATCCTATCAGCCTATTGAATCTGAGGCCTCTCCTCTATTTTCCCATCCCACTCTCAAGAAGTTTATTAGAGGCTTGCGGAACATTTGCCCACCTGTGCAACCTTCACTCCCTCAGTGGTCCCTCCAAGTTGTTCTCCGTGCTCTCACTCGGCCTCCTTTCGAACCCATGGCTTCAACACATCTCAAACTTCTCTCCCTCAAAACTCTTTTTCTTGTAGTTATAACTTCTGCACATCAAGCAAGCAAGCTGGCCGCCTTTCGGGCCAACACTCCTTATATTCAGTTTTTGCCTTTCAGGCCAACACTCCTTATATTCAGTTTTACCCAGACAAAGTTGTCTTTTACCCAGATGTCACCTTCCTCCCTAAAGTGATTTCAGATTTCCATGTTAATCAACCTTTGATTCTTCTGACGTTGTTTCCATCTCCATCTTCTGATGTTCAGCACATGTTCCGCTCTGATGTTTGTCGTGCCTTAGCATTTTATGTTTCCAGGACTAAGGATTTTCGCACTTCTCCCAGACTCTTTGTGTGCTTCCATGGCCCATGGAAAGGTTCTCCATCCTCTTCACAGACAGTCTCGAGGTGGATTGTCTGTGCCATTACTTTGGACTTATGAATTGGCAGACAAGGGTCTGCCAGATGTGCTAAAAGCACGCTCTACAAGAGCAATGGCCACCTCCACTGCCTGGCTGCATGGCATTGAAGTCTTTGACGTCTGTCAAACAGCCACTTGGTCAACTCCGACTTTGGTGACATATTACCGCCTAGACATCAGGGCCAAGAAAGAAGCAAGTTTCGGAAGGGCTGTGCTGACTTCATTGTTGGCGTGACGGCCCTCCTTCCAGTAACTGAGCTTGCTAGTCACCCATTTCTGTGCATTCACAGAGGCTGCGAAGGAGAGGTTACTTACCTGTAACCATAGTTCTTCGAGTGGTCCTCTGTGAATCCACACATCCTGCCCATCCTCCCCACTGTCCGTCACTTAGTGTCTTGAGCTTTGTTTCGGTCAGAGCCTTGACAGCAGTGGACATTTTCGAAACTGAGGTATTACGGGCCGGTGGAGCATGCGTCATGGGGCAACATCCTGCTAATCATGTCTTTTAAAGCTCTAGAATATTCCTAGAAGTCCTGCACAGGCGCAATAAAACCCCATTTATGTGGATTCTCAGAAGACCACTCGAAGAATTATGGTTACAGATAAGTAACCTCTCTCTTTGGTGGTAGCCAAGAGTGTCTTTGCACAATTAGAACTAGTGTGCCAGCTGTGCCCATTCCAGGAGAGGTCTGATCTAACCACAGTGACACATGCCTTATTTACATCCTTGTAAATCCTTGCTGTAATGCTATCTATGTGGGCCTGCCTATGGAAAATGTCAGAAAACTTCAGCAGGTCCAAAACACAACAGCCAGATTGTTGACTGAGGCTGGACACAGGGATCACATAAGCCCCCCC